AAAACACAAACTTTTAAATAAAACAGATGTTCCGTAAATTACCGAACATCCGTTATAAAGTGATAATAAAATTTATAGTAAAACGCACAAAAGTTATTCTAACATATATAAAAGTTAGTTACGCTTCATTGATAAATTTGACAATAGTGAAACTAAATCTGACAAAAGTGTATCCGGTGTACAGTAAATTACTGAAAACCGGGTGTTTACAAAAATTTTCCTTGTAAAAATTATATTCAACCTTAAAATCTTCAACGGATTCATAATTACATGTAATGCATTAAATTTTTTTTTTGAACATAATTACCCACTTAGATGATAACACGATAGTCGGATGCGAAAAATTATTACAAATTTGAAATAATCACAAATTTGAAGTCTTACACTTTATAGTGGACAGACACTAATTTGAATTACAAAATTGGTCTATTTTGATAGCCAGTTTGATAATATAAACACCATTGTAATTACTGATCAAACAAATCAACATTAATTTTCTTGATAAACAAACGTTACAAACCTAAACCGCAAACCCTGAACGCTAAACCCTAAACTCTTTGGTGGACTGGTAAAAATAAACTCTATACCCCTTACATCAACCCTTCACCCGACAAACCCTTCAACACTAATTTTCGTAACCGTAAACCGTTATAAGGTTTAGGGTATAGGGTTTAGGGCTTAGGGTATAGGGTTTGGGCCGGGGCTTAGGGTTTAGGGTTTAGGGTTTGGGTTATTTAGAACAAGGTGCTACAACTTTCCAAATGAAAAGAGTCAAATATTGTATACTAAAAATCCAGCGAAATGACATTGTGATTGTAAATGTGATTTGCGAAAAATTACATAAGTTAAATCCAGGGAAATCTTTCCATAATGATTTCAAATCTTCCCTCTGATTTGCTATTCACATGAAAACTTAAAGAACTGCAACATTTCCCATGTTTTGACCGTAAGTTTTTATGAATATTCACCTATCCCTAATTTTTGGCTTTATATCAATACAAAAAATTGGAAACTAACCGCAGGCTATACACCTACACTCAGCTACTTCCACTGCACTTTTTGAGCTAAGTATTTGAGCTAAGTAAAAAAAGCAACGGGTGCCTAGAATCAGATACTAAGCCATCTACCTCTTGTTTGAGTTGTCCTTACTGACATAAGTGTTATTATTTTTCTCCAAGGTCAAGTTGATACAAAACCTCAACGACCATCCAAAATCAAAGCATATTGGACTTGTATTTGTTAAAAATCAACATATAGCAGTCCTAATAATTTTTGTTTTAAATGATGGGTCCAGAAATCTTAATAATTTTTATTTTCTAGAAATAAAAAAATATCAGTCTTTTTCCTAGAAACCATCTTAATTTTTTTTTGCCTGGAAATCCTAATAATTTTTTTTCCTTGAAACCATCATAATTTTTTTTGCCTAGCTAGGATAAATAAATCACTCCATAACTGTATTTTATTTTTGATATAGAGACCAATCACAGTTTCGTACCTTTCCTCTTTGAAAAAACACAAACTTTTAAATAAAACAGATGTTCCGTAAATTACCGAACATCCGTTATAAAGTGATAATAAAATTTACAGTAAAACGCACAAAAGTTATTCTAACATATATAAAAGTTAGTTACGCTTCATTGATAAATTTGACAATAGTGAAACTAAATCTGACAAAAGTGTATCCGGTGTACAGTAAATTACTGAAAACCGGGTGTTTACAAAAATTTTCCTTGTAAAAATTATATTCAACCTTAAAATCTTCAACGGATTCATAATTACATGTAATGCATTAAATTTTTTTTTTGAACATAATTACCCACTTAGATGATAACACGATAGTCGGATGCGAAAAATTATTACAAATTTGAAATAATCACAAATTTGAAGTCTTACACTTTATAGTGGACAGACACTAATTTGAATTACAAAATTGGTCTATTTTGATAGCCAGTTTGATAATATAAACACCATTGTAATTACTGATCAAACAAATCAACATTAATTTTCTTGATAAACAAACGTTACAAACCTAAACCGCAAACCCTGAACGCTAAACCCTAAACTCTTTGGTGGACTGGTAAAAATAAACTCTATACCCCTTACATCAACCCTTCACCCGACAAACCCTTCAACACTAATTTTCGTAACCGTAAACCGTTATAAGGTTTAGGGTATAGGGTTTAGGGCTTAGGGTATAGGGTTTGGGCCGGGGCTTAGGGTTTAGGGTTTAGGGTTTGGGTTATTTAGAACAAGGTGCTACAACTTTCCAAATGAAAAGAGTCAAATATTGTATACTAAAAATCCAGCGAAATGACATTGTGATTGTAAATGTGATTTGCGAAAAATTACATAAGTTAAATCCAGGGAAATCTTTCCATAATGATTTCAAATCTTCCCTCTGATTTGCTATTCACATGAAAACTTAAAGAACTGCAACATTTCCCATGTTTTGACCGTAAGTTTTTATGAATATTCACCTATCCCTAATTTTTGGCTTTATATCAATACAAAAAATTGGAAACTAACCGCAGGCTATACACCTACACTCAGCTACTTCCACTGCACTTTTTGAGCTAAGTATTTGAGCTAAGTAAAAAAAGCAACGGGTGCCTAGAATCAGATACTAAGCCATCTACCTCTTGTTTGAGTTGTCCTTACTGACATAAGTGTTATTATTTTTCTCCAAGGTCAAGTTGATACAAAACCTCAACGACCATCCAAAATCAAAGCATATTGGACTTGTATTTGTTAAAAATCAACATATAGCAGTCCTAATAATTTTTGTTTTAAATGATGGGTCCAGAAATCTTAATAATTTTTATTTTCTAGAAATAAAAAAATATCAGTCTTTTTCCTAGAAACCATCTTAATTTTTTTTTGCCTGGAAATCCTAATAATTTTTTTTCCTTGAAACCATCATAATTTTTTTTGCCTAGCTAGGATAAATAAATCACTCCATAACTGTATTTTATTTTTGATATAGAGACCAATCACAGTTTCGTACCTTTCCTCTTTGAAAAAACACAAACTTTTAAATAAAACAGATGTTCCGTAAATTACCGAACATCCGTTATAAAGTGATAATAAAATTTACAGTAAAACGCACAAAAGTTATTCTAACATATATAAAAGTTAGTTACGCTTCATTGATAAATTTGACAATAGTGAAACTAAATCTGACAAAAGTGTATCCGGTGTACAGTAAATTACTGAAAACCGGGTGTTTACAAAAATTTTCCTTGTAAAAATTATATTCAACCTTAAAATCTTCAACGGATTCATAATTACATGTAATGCATTAAATTTTTTTTTTGAACATAATTACCCACTTAGATGATAACACGATAGTCGGATGCGAAAAATTATTACAAATTTGAAATAATCACAAATTTGAAGTCTTACACTTTATAGTGGACATACACTAATTTGAATTACAAAATTGGTCTATTTTGATAGCCAGTTTGATAATATAAACACCATTGTAATTACTGATCAAACAAATCAACATTAATTTTCTTGATAAACAAACGTTACAAACCTAAACCGCAAACCCTGAACGCTAAACCCTAAACTCTTTGGTGGACTGGTAAAAATAAACTCTATACCCCTTACATCAACCCTTCACCCGACAAACCCTTCAACACTAATTTTCGTAACCGTAAACCGTTATAAGGTTTAGGGTATAGGGTTTAGGGCTTAGGGTATAGGGTTTGGGCCGGGGCTTAGGGTTTAGGGTTTGGGGTATAAGGTTTAGGAATTAGGGCTTAGGGCTTAGGGTTAGGGATTAGGGTTTAGGGTTTAGGGTTTGTGGTTTAGGGTTTAGGGCTTAGGGCTTAGTGTTTAGGGTTTGTAGTTTAGGGCTTAAGGCTTAGGGTTTCGGGCTTAGGGTTTAGGGTTTGTAGTTTAGGGCTTAGGGTTTCGGGCTTAGGGTTTCGGGCTTAGGGTTTAGGGTTTGTAGTTTAGGGTTTAGGGTTTAGGGTTTGGGATTCAGGGTTTAGGGTTTGGGGTTTGGGCCTTAGGGTTAGGGCTTAGGGTTTAGGGTTTAGGGTTTGTGGTTTAGGGTTTAGGGTTTAGGGTTTGTGGTTTAGGGTTTAGGGTTTTAGGGTTGCGGGTTTAAGGGTTTGGGGTTTAGATTTAAGGGTTTAGGGTTATAAGGGTTTGTGGTTTAGGCTTCACAAAGTTAGTGTTTTATAGTGTTGAGGGTTTATCGGCTGAAGGGTTGTTGTAATGTTTAAAGAAGTCCTTTCAATTTAGGGATTAAGTTTAGGAGTTCAGGGTATAGGGTTTGATATAAGGGTTATAACGGTTTACGGTGAAGGAAATTATTGTTGCAGAAAACCCTATACCCTAAATCCTGAACCCTAAACCCTAAATAGCAAACCCTAAACCCTAACCCTAAATATCAAACCCTAACCCTATCCTTAAGCCACGGTTTATTTTTATTTTATTTTTTTTTATTAATATTATACGGTTCAATTTTTTTTATATAAATTCTATAAATTCCACCCTTATTTTTTTTATAAAAAAATATATAACCGATTATTGTTTTGCCTTAGTTTCTAACCATATAAATTTTCATTTACAATGTACATTTTTCTGTATTTGTTGATTTCATTTTAGTATATTTACTTTTATTTTTTCCTTTAAAATCTACATCTTCTTACACTTTCATGGTAATTATGTCTTTCTTGTCTGTCAACTTTTTATTTGATGTCAACAAAGCCATGCTTTCCTCTTTCTTTTTGCAGTACTTTAGCGATTTGCAATGAACTGCTTCCTGACATCAGTGGATTATCACGCAAAGAGTTTGCATTCTTAGTTATTTGTGAAAGTTTAGTTCATTTCCAACACGGTTAAACCTACTTGCCTCCTGACACCTAGGCGCAGTGAATCACTCCTTGGTTTATTGAAAAGTGTCGTACTAGCACCCACTAACCCACTAAGGCTCCTACTCCAGTCTCCTTGCTCGTTATTTGCTTAAAAACCCACATAGATGCTAAGTTCAATTTGCCAAACTCTGAGCCAAAATTCAACAATTTTCCAAATAAGATGCCTACATTGGCCAACACCCCCGAAGGTAATCGCGCAACCTTATTTTTTGAACCACCACAAAGCTTAAAACCAGAAATGGACATGAACTCAAAAATCTTCCTTTGCCGTGATGCCACTGACAACCCAGCGTTCGTATCCAAAAAAACCATATCCCAACTCATACTCAATCCAACGGCGGTTGGTAGTGAGTTTTCCACCTTGAAAATGAGAGACATGGCTCTCAGGGATGACCTTCGACCAGCTCACTTACCTAATGTGGCTGACTTGTACCCCTTTCCGGAGTTGGCAGTTATTATTTTGAAGTCTTTGTTGAATACTCAACACGCTATTCCGTATTGCATGCAACACTTGATCGATCCAGAGCCAGTACTTGATTTAACATTGCCTGTGTACAAGCTGGGGTTCGATACACTGTACTTATGTATGGCAACCTACAGTGATGCCATACAAGTGGTGGAGGTTCCTGAGTACCCTTCTGTGCTAATTCTAACTATTTTCGCTGCGCTTGAGTCTTCCCTTAGAGCACCTTACCATACTGTTGCATTTGATCCTGTGTCATGCCCTCCTTGGGTTCCCTATTTGACCAATGTCTCAATCCATACCCGCATGTTGACTTGGAATGTGCGTGGCTTTACAAGGGAATCATTCATTGCAAATTTCAATGTTGTGTATCGTTATTTTAAGCCCTCCTTGATTGTCCTTCTAGAGACGAGGCATTTCCTTGAAAATGTTAACGAGGTTATTAATCGTCTACCTCGTAATTTCAACGTTATAACATGTCCAACTTGCTCTCTTTCTGGTGGATATGTAGTGATATGGAAGGAGGAAGTGATAAAGATAGTCCAAAACCCTACATTCCAAGGTGGTGAAGTTATTAATGTTCTTTTCCAGGTAATTCATATTCTATTGATTTAATTTTGTCAATATATTAACATCACAAACTTTAACTCGATGATGCACCATGGTCACAGGGGGTGAAACAGAAGTCGAAGCTAGCAAAGGTCAGCAAGTCAAAACCAAAGTTCATATGTTGTGGAAGGTTCTAATGAATGAAACATGGCAATTAACTATTATTTGATGCATTTAATGTTTTCCATGTACTTAGTACTCTAGGAAGAAAAACTCTAGTCGGTTATTAGATGAATTGTACTAGCTAGTTAGTTATTAGAAAGTATTCGGAATATGTTATTCTCATTGTCGTATGTAATATTAATGATATGGTATTTTAATGTAACAACTTATGGTTTATGTTAGTAAAATTAATATGTTATTAAATTTAATATATTTCATTTTATTATTCTACAAACTTATGGTTTATGTTACCAACTTATCACTCCATAGAAGGTACCAAAAATGTAACACTCTTGCTCCACATGAGCCAAAAATCTTTAAAATAATTACAAACATGGAAGGGTTGTTGATATTGACATAACACATAAAGTAATTTCATGTCAGATTTAGAATCAAATATTGGGAAACTGAATTGGTTAGCCATACCTAGTTTCAGTCGGAGGTACTAATATAGTTGATAGAGACCAGTTTGTCTCATTGCTATGGAAACTCCGCTCCATGAATTGCGGGAAAAGTCCATACGGGGTATGAGTTTTGGGATAAGGCCTGAGTAGTACAATTATTAATTTATCAATTTTTTCATTTCTGGTCTTATAGTTATGAAAAAAAAGTCTTTGGGAATTATAAGTAAAACAAATCAATTACTTGGATATAAGTTTGCAATGATCTTAAGATCGTAATAATGATAATGGGTAATTATGATTAACTGAATCCCTCACCAAAAAAAAAACAAGAAAAAAAAAATCCTTAAGGTTTTAGGTTTTATGTTAATCATAATGGTAATTATGATTAACGTTCTCCTCACCTTATTTATTTCTTATTATAAGAAATAGAGCAGATTATAAGTTGTATATGATATCCAGAGGAAAAAAGCTATGAACTGTATTCAGGATGAAATAATAAAAGATATATGGAAATCGGTTGGAGGTGTCGTCGAGGCTTTAAGGTTTAGGTTCTAGTGGATCAGGGTATGAGGTTATGAGGTTTATGGTTAATGGTGTAGTCAAGGGTTCAGGATTTAGGGTTGAGGGTTTAGGGTTTAGTCAAGGGTTCAGGATTTAGGGTTGAGGGTTTAGGGTTAAGGGTTTAGGATTAGCGTATATGATTTAAGATTGACGGTTTAGAGTTGAGGGTTTAGTCATGGGTTCATGATTTAGGGTTAACGGTTTAGGATTAGCATATATGATTTAGGATTTTAGGTTGAGGGTTTAGGGTTAAGGGTGAGTAGGTTAAGGGTGAGTAGGGTTTAGGGTTAAGACTTTAGGACTAGCGCATATGATTTAGGGTTTAGGGTTAAGGGTTTAGTCAAGGGTTCAGGATTTAGGGTTGAGGGTTTAGGAGTAGCGTATATGATTTAGGATTTAAAGTTTAAGGTTTCATTAGGGTGTTTAGGGCTTAGGGTTAAGGGTTTAGGATTAGTGTATATGATTTAAGGTTGACGGTTTAGGGTTGAGGGTTTAGTCATGGGTTCATGATTTAGGGTTAACGGTTTAGGATTAGCGTATGTGATTTAGGATTTAAGGTTGAGGGTTTAGGGTTAAGGGTGAGTAGGTTAAGGGTGAGTAGAATTTAGGGTTAAGACTTTAGGACTAGCGTATATGATTTAGGGTTTAGGGTTAAGGGTTTAGTCAAGGGTTCAAGATTTAGGGTTGAGGGTTTAGGAGTAGCGTAAATGATTTAGGATTTAAAGTTTAAGGTTTCATTAGGGTGTTTAGGGCTTAGGGTTAAGGGTTTAGGATTAGCGTATATGATTTAAGGTTGACGGTTTAGGGTTGAGGGTTTAGTCATGGGTTCATGATTTAGGGTTAACGGTTTAGGATTAGCGTATATGATTTAGGATTTAAGGTTGAGGGTTTAGGGTTTAGGGTGATTAGGTTAAGGGTGAGTAGGGTTTAGGGTTAAGACTTTAGGACTAGCGTATATGATTTACGCTAGTGGGTTAAGGGTTTAGTCAAGGGTTCAGGATTTAGGGTTGAGGGTTTAGGGTTAACGGTTTAGGATTAGCGTATATGATTTAAGGTTGACGGTTTAGGGTTAAGGATTTAGTGAAGGGTTCATGATTTAAGGTGGAGGGTTTAGGGTTAACGGTCTAGGATTAGCGTATATGTAATACCTTTAGCAAATATATTATGTCCTAAATATAAACGTGTGAATGTGCAGACTACATACCTTTAGCAAATATATTACGTTGTACATTATTATTGGGCCATATTAGTGGGGTAATTAAAAATTTTAAACTGTAAAATAAACGTTGGCAGAACAAATCAAACTAATTGTTTAGAAAATAACTTTGATCTATCCTTGTTTAACAAAAAATCATTACGACACATGTGGATAATGACATTCTATAGAAAAAAAAAATAAAAAAATAAAAATAAACAAGGATAGATACCAAAAAATAAGAATAAACAAAAAAATTAAATAAATAAATAAAAATAAACAAAAAAAAAAATTAAATAAATAAAAATAAAAATAAAAAAATAAAAAAAATAAATAATGACATTATTAATACCTCTAATAATGTCAGTTTGGATTGTCATCGTTTACCATTTAATTTTCAAATTGTGAAAGACATTTTTGTTCCTCAACCCTTAACTATGAACATAGCTAAGAAATCTATTAACAATGACTTGGCAAACCTACAGATTGGAAGGAACAACAACCAAAAAATTTCATATCACCCAAAAAATCCCGCAATGTACTTCAAGATTGTTTTCCCGAGCACTGAGTCGGAAATGAAATTAAACACAATAAAATACTACTACAGCGACACCAACACTAGTCCAGCTTTTGAGATTCCATTGAATATGCTACACGTCGAACTGTGTAGCAATCCTGAAGACGGTGCTTGCTTAGGAACGCCATTCCGGGTTATGAAATTACCGAATGGGGATGTAAAACCTGCGTACATGCCCTAATATCTGATCTGGAAGGTTACATGCATCCCGGTGGAGCTTTGTTTGTGAAACGGTACTATCGGCGCTGTAGACACCCATTTGTGTCTCCCCAAAACAAAACCCGGTGATGAGTATCTTCCACGTCGAATCATAATCGAATGAAACGAAAGTGTGGAAAGGTCTAGTGTTGCGGAAAGTTTTTTTATTTCTTTTCTTTTCTCTTCTTCCTGTTTTTGAAAACTTTATTTTAAATAAAACAGTCAATCCAGTTTGGTTGGTCCATTATATGGGTCCAATAGTGGTGTAGTTGGATGGGGTTTGCAAAGACCTTTCCAACGATATATTATAAGCCCAATTCCGATGAATATTGAGGAAGTTATGGCCAATTTACTAAACTGGGCCCGGTTTGAGTTTTAAGTACGGCCCAACGATCTAGGGGAAGGCCTAATATGATTTATCATTCCTAATGCAATCAGGAATGGTTTTGGTCTTCTAGAACATTCTAGAAGGTTTTATCATTCTTAATTTAATTAGGACTCTTCAGAGTTTTAATTAGATCAAATAGCATTTTCGATTGAAATTATATGATTTTATCTTCCAGTACGGGAAATTTATCAGATTTTCGAAAACGCGTTGAAATCCAAATTGGCGTCCAACCTCAGGCCTTGGTGCCTGGAACCAGGATTGGCGCCAGACGCCAGCCATTGGCGCCTGGCGCTAGCCACTGGTCCTAGCGCCAATGAGCCAGGGCTGGCGCCAAGTTAGTTTTGTGGTCTTCAGACTCTGTTTTGATAAATTATCTTTTTTTGGATGATTTTCTCTATAAATATCGTATCAAAAACTCCATTTTCGATCATCATCTACATCTATCGTTCACCAATTCTCTTTATTCTTAAGTTTTCACCATCTATCAATTACCAATAATCAACTCTCTTCATTAACAAAATTATTCATCAAGGACGATTCATTAATTCTCTTCATTCATCAATTTTCAATAACATTAATCTTTTAGCATTCTTTTCTAAACTTTGGTTTTCATACAAAATTCCGCATTCACAAGATCTAGAAACACCTAGCCATATTCGAAGTTTCCTTCGCCTTAGACGTGAAAGGTTTTAAAATCTGAGGGTTTGGTCCCAAATCTCTCTTTCAATTATTTAATTTAATTGTTTTGATTATTATTTTCCTTGAAGTTACTAACGTGTGTATTTTGTTATTAGAAAGAGGTACGAGGTATCCAAGTAAGTACTTTAATGGTTTAATTAATATTATGATGTAGAAATCATGCTTAGATTGTTATTTTGATTCCTAGTATCATGTCTAGGGTAACTTTAATATTAAGTATGATTAAAAGTACAATGCTTCCTATATTCTTCCTAATATTAATTCATGTTAGTATCGTGTTAGGGCTAAAGATTTGATTTTTAATGCTTAGTGACATGCTAGGGTTTGTTATTAATCTTGTTAGTATCATGCCTAGGATCTTGCTATGCTTTAACATGATTATGATTATCATTAATTATGATTATGATTGATTATTATTAATGATGTTCATTATTTATTATGTTGCTTGATACATTATTTATATTGTTATTGCTTGATCACCTTTTATTGCATGCTTAAAGGGAATTGGTATTTGCAACCACGCTTAATAAGATATTTAATAATCTTGTTAGGTTAATTGTGATTATAATTCAAGTGATCGCCAATGATAGTTTATTTGTGCATTAAAATTCAACCAACATAGATTAAACAGGTTTAGGGTTAATCCTATTGATTGCATGTTAATTAAAAAGCGCACATGAATACGATCAGAACAAAGTAGAGGCCTATTATTAGGGCAGGTTCAATCTCTTTTAGGTTGGATTTGTACCATCATCCAGAACCCTTATTTGGTTCATGACCTTATGGAGTTGACGATCTCTTGGATCGTTAAGGGGTGTAACCTTCATCCTATGAACGGTTTACAAGTTCCTTAAAAACTTGTTGGCGACTCTTTTGTTCTATCTTCTTCCCTTTTGGACGCCACCGTACTTTAGTGTATGATCACAGTGAGGTTCAAGATAGTGGGATTTTAAAGGCTTGAAATTATTCCCTACAGTTTTTGGCGACTCCGCTGGGGAGGATTTCTATTTTAATTCCTTAATTTGTTTCGGCAATGATTTAGAATGAGTGGATGAGACTCGAAAAGTTCTAAGTATTTCATGTGCGTAATTTTGGTTAACATTATTGTCATATGCATAAAAAGGTTCTCATTGGA